ACACACACACACACACACACACACACACACACACACACACAAGCCACATTAGAGTTTTACCTACACATAAAGAGTCACAGAATTATGTCACCTGCAGAGAAATGGATGGAGAAGGAGATCATCATATTGAGCTAAATAAGTCAGATTCACAAATAAAAATACCACATGCTTTTTCTCAGAGTCAGAATCTAGATTGAAAATAATTTTATGTATGGTGTTAAGTAAAGGTGGGGCATATTTTGGGGAAATGGCCAGCAAGAAGGGCTAATGGTGACAAGGGCGGGTAATGGGGAATGAGCTTGGTCAGATCACATTGTATGGGTGAATAGCAATGTCATAACGAAGTCCATTATTTTGCACAATTAATGTACACTAATAAAAGTAGAGACATTCATGCCTCTAATCAGTTAAAAACTGGATTTTTTCTTTGGCTTCCAAGATATTTATATCCTTTCCCCCTTCCCACTTTAAAATCTTTTTAACTTAATGAGATTTGAAGATATAAAATGTCTTTTTCAAATATATTGAAAGATATTTAAACCTGATGAAAGTTTTGAATCTCCATTTTTCTAAATTTTATCTCCCTACAAATTTAAAAATGATATCTTGTAGACATTAGTTATATTTATTATGCTTTAGAAAAAAACAAAAGGGTGGTGAAATAATAAGCAATTTTACTTGTTGCACAGATCTTTTCTTGGTGCTTATAAATGATGAGTGACATCTCCCAGCTCTGTTTCGCTCTACCAATAATCAGCTGTTATTTATACACTGAGATATTGCTTCATGGCCTTGGCCAGGGTTAAGTTTAATTATTTTTTGATAAGAGCATTGTGGGAAAATGAGCCAAGAACTGACTCACTGAGGATGACATCCAGTCTTGACCATCTTAGCAACTGAGGCTTGCACAATTTGATTCTGTAATTCAACCTACCTAAACCATTAAAACAGAAATGCCTGTCCAAATGAATCTTCTTCCTCTTTTTTAATTTTTTTCTATTTTTAATGTACATTTCTTGCATAGGTTAGCAATATGTAATTGTCAGAAGTGAACTTGAAAAAAGTGCATCTATTCTAATTTGAAACTCATCCCATACCTTTAGAAGAAAATATTTGGTGATTTTGACGTCTTTGATTGGCATTTCATACACACAGAAAAAATGAGTCTAATGAAAGCCTAACTGCAACGTATACATTTTTAGTTTTCTCCCACAGTGGACAACTTTTCACTCCAGTAAAGGTAAGCCTTCACTTCAAGGGCACTCTGTGGAGGATGAAGATTCTTGGACTCCTCTGTTTTTTTTTTTTTTAAACTTATTATGTGTCTGAAAAAAGAAAAAGGAGCATGGCTGTTTTTACATCTCCATTGGATGTCAGTTGTAATCATGTTCAAGTCGCAAACAAAGCTCAGTGTGAGTGAGCACAAGGGTATCATCTATCAGTGGCATCTCCATATTGGAGCAGTTGTGCCATTCACAATAAAGGCAACAGACATTCTGTTTCTGGCGAAACACTCAAACTCATCTTAGTTTGTGCGGATTATTGTCGATGTGTTGTTAACATAGGAGTGACCTGGAAGGGAGCCAGTTTCTCTGTTCTGTGTCTAAAAATGGATCACTGTACTGCTGTGAGCACCGTGAAATCAATACAGAGAATCATTTGTTGTGGAAGTTATAGTCTGAAATCCTGAAAATTCTCAATCTAGACATCAGACCATAATGATTGAGGGCTTGTTTACATAGCTTTCTGGGCTAAAGGAGTAGTTTTCCTCTCTTATTCTCTTCAAGCAAATGCTATCTTTCTTTATTATTATTTTTTGATAGATCATCATCGACATTAATAAGAAGCAAGACGGTGATGGACTTTATATAATGTCTGATGAAGACTCAGGTACAAGAAAATTAGCTTTTTTAATTAGCTCAAATAAAGGACAGGACATGCTAAGGAAACATTATAGATTCCAAGAAGAACACATCAAATGGTTAGGCTTCTGTCCGTGAAGTCACAATCTGAGCTTCTGTTTGAATCATCTGTCTCTTCTGGAAACAAGAGGTAAATGTTAATTCCCACTGTGAGGGCACTTAGGCTGTGTTGTCTAGAAACAGGCCTTTGGCATGTGGGCAAGATGAGACAAACTCTCAAAGGAAGAGACCCTATGACAGAACACTTGTGGCTTTATAAGAAGAGGGACAGAGACCAACATTCTTGTGTGTGCATGCACACATGTGACCACACATGCAAACATGCCCTGCATCATTTTAGATTATTCTGGAAAGACTACACCAGATGTGGTCCACCTTAAACCAGAACTGTGAGCCAAAAGTAAACTTCTCTATTTTAGATTTTAAAAATGTGAATCTTTTCTCTTGTGTATGATGTGTTTGTATGAGGGCATGCGTGTTTGTGCTTGTATATGAGAGTGTGGGCATTAGTATGCCATAGTGTGCATGTGGATGTCAGAGGACAACCTTGGGTGTTGGTCTTTACCTTCCAATTTGCTTAAGACAAATTCTCTTGTCTTCATCATTGCATGCAGCAGGCCAGCTGGCCCTTGAGCTTTTGGGGATTTTCTTTTTTAGTTTTTTTGAGACAGGGTTTCTCTATGTAGTTTTGGTACCTGTCCTGGATCTTGCTCTGTAGACCAGGCTGGCCTTGAACTCACAGAGATCTGCCTGGCTCTGACTCCTGAGTGCTGTCAGTAAAGGCGTGTGCCACCACCGCCTGGCTGCTTTTGGGGATTTTCTTGTCTCCCATCTCACTGTTTGAGTGCCGAGATGCCAAATGTGCACTCCCATGTCTGGCTTTACATGGATCCTGGGAATCTGAACTCAAGTCACCATATTTGTACAACAAATGCTTTATGCATTGACTCATTTTCCCAGCCCACAATCCTCTTTTCTTTATTACTTACTATTGTATGACACTTTTTATAAGGAGACATGAACAAATGTCTACTCATCCTAGAGAGGGAACCAAAAACAGAGCAAAGTAATGATAACACCCAAGTCTGACTTGTAAACCAATGAGTTTACTGGGGTTACTTATAGAAGTACGGATGAGGGGTTACACATAGGAACACGAGTCAAAGGAAGCTGCAATACCAAAAGCCCACACTAGCATGAGTAACAACTTATGAAAAGTAGAATTCTGGAGCTCTTTGCACAACTTGTGGGAAGTTTGGCATGTCAGAGAGTCTATTGTTCTTAGCATTCTTACTTCTTATATAGCCTTTGTGAGGGAGGGTTTTAGTGAATCCTGTAAATGTTAGGGACTTCCTGAGTCTTATGAGTTGTTTACTTCCTAAGTCTTGAGAAGCCTCCATCTTCAACCTTTTGAATCTTAAGGAGCTTCACTCCAGGATGGTGTGTTTCAATTGGGAAGAAATTGGTACACAACACTTAGCTAGTCTGTTATTTGTTACCAGCAGTAGAAAGTGCACCAATTCAGCTGATCAGGCCTTTTATCTTTGGATGCTTTCTTCCCTGTTAGTCTCAAGCTTATTCATCTTGTACCAGGACTTATGTAGTTACTGAACATCACTTTTACATGATCGCTTACATCAAATGCCTGTATCTACAGCTGGCAGGCTCAGACTTTCAGTGCCCCAATTCTAAAATCTTTATATATTAATCTAATTTTGAGTGATACACTGGTGGACTTAGCCCACGGCCAATTCCTGACCACTCAGATATGTTCATGAACTGTGTAGTAGACATGGCTGTGGTAGGTGCTATGGAAGTAGCTATTATTGGAGCAAGTATTGATAAGCATGCCTATTTATGTACTCTGTTATGTGTCTGAATCAATAGCCATAAAATTTTTCTTCCAAACCACCAAGAATAACGTTTATACCACCTTAGCATCCTTCTATGTGTAAACCCTTAAAGCCATGCTTTTTCTATTATGTGTAATATGCTCCAGTGTTTCCCTTTAGATCTAATGGATTCCATTAAATAAAAGTATACAGTCTCTCCTCGCCAAATTGATTTCATGGTCACTAATGACTTAGTCCCTTCCAAAGCTCTGGCCTATGCAGTTCATTATATTGCTTTCCTTTGTAGCCTTCATAATTGTAACTGATTCTCTTGTAGTTTGCGATTTCCTTTGCAGCAGATGTAACAATTGCAGCTGCCTCCCTTGTAAAACCACAAACCACATTAAAGCAGTCTGTGTCTATCTTGTTTACTGCTCTACTCCCAGCACCTGACGGAGCTCTTGGCACATAGTAGATGCTCAATTGAGTAAATATTGATGAATGAGTAAGTGAAGGCCGGAGCAGATGGTGCCCTTAATGGGCTCACTTGGCTCTTTGCAGGGAGGAAATTCAGATAGGTATAACACGCCTCACCTCAGTATGGCCCTGCGGAAGGGAAAGCAGACGAAAAGCCCAGTAGGCTTCTTGATGGAGCCAGGAGGGCAGGCCAAAGAGCTAGGTTTCCAATGAGTCACAGATAACTGACTGCTATTCTCTGAACCGGGAAAACTGACTAAGATGGGGGAAGAGTCGATATCTGGTCTGAGCTCAGGTCCTTTGATTCTTCATTTAAAATTGATTCCTCCAAGTTGCAATACCTTTTTAGTTGGATTTTCTAAATCTTCATTTTTATGCATAGCTCATCACAGAGAAGGAAAGTGGGGGCGGGGAATCCCATATAGTTTTTTTTTTTTTTAATATTTACATGTTATTTTTATTTGTGGTGTGTGTGTGTGTGTGTGTGTGTGTGTGTGTGTGTGTGTGTGTGTGTATGAGGCTGTATGTGTTTATGTACATCAAGTGCATGCAGGTGCTCACAGAGGCCAGAGGGCTTCAGATCCCCGGCACTGGAGTTACAGGTGTTTGTGAGACACCTGATGTGGATGTTGGCAACTGAACCTAGGTCCTGTGCAAGAGCAGTAAGCTCTCCTAACCGCTGAGCCATCTCTCCAACACCCTCCCTCTATACATGTTCATACCTTTCCCCTGATGGAGCAGAGACATATGTCTGGGAGACTCATGGCACAGAGCTCTGCTGAAGCTTTTGCTTCTTCTCACCCTCTTGCCAGGTCACTGACTCCCATCCCGTTGGGATCCATCCCAGTCACTGCTGCAGTAGCTCTCATCGGTCTCTAAGAGTTGGCTCAGAAACACCTCCTAGAGGCGTTTAAATTACCCATTTGTACAGATTTGTGATCTTTAGGACAATTTAATAATTATAATGGTTTCATCTCTCGACCTACCAAACAGTCTGTGGGTACAATGTCGAATTTATATAAAGCATGCACAGGAGGATAGACTTTTGATCGTGACTCCTTAGCACTCTCCAAGCAGGACAGAGATAACTATTTGCTATACTCAAGAACTTTCATGTGTTTCAAATGTTACCTTTCAGGGTGGAGATGCCCACTTCTTAAAATTCATATTCATTGTACTGAGTTAAAATTGTCAAATAAAACTCAATTCATTATATATAGGATATGTATGATTTTAGAATATTGGGGGATAATTTTGTCTAAAGCTAATGTGTTTTAATTCTTTATTAGGCTGTATGAGATTGTAGGGTACAGAAGACTGAAGTCTCTTAGCTTCTCCCAAGCAACTCTTTTCACTTTAATAAAAAAATGCTATGAGAGCATTTGTAGCGGTAGCAATGGTGTCCACAGCACATCAGCTGATGCCATCCATAGCTTGTGGGCAACAGTCTCTTGTTCTTCAGGTCAATCTACTTTGGTTCCTTAAGGGAGTAGCTATGTAAACATTGTATTAAAGTCAGGGCGATGCTTTTTTTGATGGGGCTGGGACAAAGGTCTCTGGGGTTCCCTCTTCACAGAGATGTAATAAACTACTTTCATCACTGGTCTTGTTAGTTCTTGTGTGCCTTAGGAGTACAATTCTGGGTTTCCAGTCTGTGAGTAACCTACACAGCTCTGCTAAAGTACCCTAAGGCCTGTTGGGAAGATTTATGTTACGATTTCTCATTTTCAGTATGTTGTAAATGAAGAGTTAATGACCATGTGTATGTATACATACATAATACATACATACACACATATATGTATATATAAGATATATATCTTATATATACTTGCAATAGGCTACTGTTAATCCCACTGAATAGGAGTAAAGACCATTACCCAATTCTTTGGTCAAATTATACAAGCTTTATTTTCTGTCAGACAGGGCTATCTCCCTAAAGCAGGCTTTGAGAAAATAGCCTCCAACACAGGAGGAGGTGAAGTTTATAGAGCTCCCCCTAAAACTTCAAGACTAGGGGATTTTCAAGGTTGGGGGATTTCCAGAGGAAATTTGATTATGTAGAAACTTGGTCCAACATTTCAAAATTATTGGGTTAAACATCATATATTGCCAAGGTGGAAATCAGGGTACAGAGTGTGGAACATGTCAAATCCCAGAAAATATGTCAAGACCTGGTCATACCCAAGTTTTACCAAAAACAGGAATGAATTTGACTTATTTTGACTTTGTAATTAGATGGCTTTTAATCTTAAGATGGAGTCAGGCTGTTCCATCACAACCTACAAATACTTTCCCATTAAAATATATGTGTTCTGCTAATAAAACTTAGTTTTCTTTCATGATAAAAGAGACATGTTCCTGAAAATTATTTAGTAACCATATAACACAAATTAGAAATAATCCTTAATATTTTAAAAAATATCATTAGATAGTAGTGTGGATTTGACTGTATTTTAGAGATATGCATTATTACATTTATTCAGGTTTGATGTGTGTGTGTGTGTTGTGTGTGTGTATGTGTGTGTGTGTGTGTGTGTGTGTGTGTGTGTGTGTGTGTGTGTGTGTGACTGAATGCAGGTTTTTAGACTTGGAACCAAGTGCTTTTACCCCACAGAGCTATTTTGCTGGCCAAAGATATATAAGCTTAAACTTATAGAGCTGGATGTGGTGCTACATGACTTTATCCCAGAACTTGAGAGGCATGGCAAGCAGATCTCTGTGAGTTCAAGGCCACCATGGTTTAAATAGTAAGTTCCAGGACAGCCAGGGCTGTGTAGAGAGATCCTGTCTTGAAAAGAATACATCAAGCTTCCAGAAAAAATGATCTGGTGTATTGGATTTGCCACAAAAACAATTTGAGGGAGGAGTAGTGAGTTGGGTTATAGGTAAAAGAAGCTTGGTCATATTGATAATAACCACTATTCTTCTATATGTTTAGAGATCTCATAATAAAAAGAAACACCTACATTTGATATACATATATTTCTGTGCCCTTCTTCCACACTCAGAGGGCAATTGGTGGAAATGAGATGCAGATATTATGCACAAGGGACAGTGTATCTCATGCAGTTTATATCGGGTCTTGTGCCCTAGGTTATCAGATCTCCTAATCACTCACTGACACTAAAGTGTATGCTTTTATTTCCAGGAGTGTTTAGTCCTTGTTTCTATTTATTTCCTTGTCATTTAATCTCAATTGCAGCAGTGCTAGGTGCCACAAGCAGAGAATCAGGTGAAAGCTCTATAAAAATAAATGCAGACATTCCCAATGGCGTCCATTCTAATAAAAGCAATGGATATCTAATTACCCATTTTCTTTTAGGAAATAAAGTCACTGACAGCATTACATCTCTGCTATCCAACCTGACTACAGGTTATTTTCAGTATAAAAAAGCTAAGGTGTTTTGTTGCCAGCTAATGCAAGAATCTGCCTTGATAATAACCTCTATACTTGTGCTTGGAGATTTCATAATAATCTGCCTCTACTGTTCTTCCCAGTGTTGTTTTAATCACTCTAAACTTTACTCCACAGCACTTACATGTAATTAATTATTCTCTCAGCGACCCCCTCCTCTGAGACTGACCACATATACAAAACATTTTTTTAAAATGCAATGAAGACATGTTTACTCGTCGGAAGGTATAACTCGGAGGCAGAGTGCTTATCTAGTGCTTGCCTAGTGTTCATGAAGCTGAATATCTTCTCCAGCGCTGCAGAAACTGCAGGATTAAAAGGCGTTAAACTTTCCATAGTTCCACAAAGAACTTGTTTTATATTCAACTTATTGGAAAGTCAGTTTTCAGTGTTGGACTTTTTACTCAAAGGTCATAGGACCTGGAAATTGAAGAGGAAACTTGACATGCTCATTGCCATCTTGAATGTTTCACACCCTTTCTCCTTACCTGAGACACTTGTCCGCCTGTCCTTTGCCAGGTGGTGAATTCCTGTCTATCTGTTCAGGAACAGAGAAGTTCAATTGACCTCTCCTCTGATGTGTCTCTCATTCTCTAAAGGATGCAACAATGTCCCCAGCACTTACTGTGTCTGCACTATTGTTCTTACCACCCTGTGTCATAATAGCATTTTACCTTCCTTCCTATTAGACTGTAAGCTCCTTGAAGGCAGCTATCACTAATTTCTTTCATCATGTTTTTAGGTTACATTATATATTCAGCAACTGTTGAGGTAAAAGGGAGATTTCAAGTAAGTGCAAAAATAGTTTTTAAAAGGAGAGATAATATCAGCACTGGTTCTTGGTTTGGCGGAAAGAATTAATGTTCTTAATAATAATTTTTGACAAGAAAATGTGTCCTACCCTTAGGTAGGCAGTTAGCAGGATGAAAGACAACATGTTTGGACCCCTCTCTCATGATCATTAGCCTGTAAAACCAAGGACCATAACCTCAAAACCCTGGTTATTGGCTAGAGAAACGGGACTTGGATCTGGGAGAAGATTGGGTATCCTGAACTTCCCAGAATGTCATTAACTGTTAACTTTCTGAACCTGGTTCCAGGAACCCTGAACCTTAAAAGGCCACTCTTGAGTGGGAGGCTTTCTTTTTCTTTCTTTCTTTTTTTTTTTTTTTGGTTTTTCGAGACAGGGTTTCTCTGTGTAGCTTTGCGCCTTTCCTGGAACTCACTTGGTAGCCCAGGCTGGCCTCGAACTCACAAAGATCTGCCTGCCTCTGCCTCCAGAGTGCTGGGATTAAAGGCGTGCGCCACCACTGCCCGGCGAGTGGGAGGCTTTCTGATAAAGAACAAGATCACTGTCCTCTCTCTAAGAGGTGACCCTTTTGGGTCTGCGATCATCCAGACAGGGAAACACCCATCCAGGAAGTGGTCTGGTCTGGGAGTTTTTTTTTTTTTTTTTTTTTTTTTGAAACAATATAAAATCTGCCTAAATTTGGAATCTACACAATGGTCTCTATGGCCATTGGCCATTGTCATCTGATGGGAGTGTTATGCTCTGTGATGGTTCCTGTGGCCATTGTCCACTCTTGTCCCTTTACGATGACCTAGTTGGGTCTAGAATGAACTGCCTACCTTCTGCACTCCATTCTGTGTGTTTTCCTCTGGATTCTTTTGACATCATTCACCAAGACTCAGAAGCCCAGCGTAGGTTAGACTAAGGTCCTAGTCATACCTTATTGTCACCTCCCTTTGAAGAGCTGCATATAATAGTTTACAGTCAATACAAAACTTGGGCTCCTTCAAAAGATAAGTTGATTTTCTTCTTTGCATCAAGACACAAGTTACTTTTATATTTCACACTAGAATAGAAAAATGATCCAGTTCACAACATGAAAAATATGCTAGGAAAGAAAAAGATCTTAGAGATAAGCCACAATTCGACACCAAGCCAAAGCCTCGCAGGAAGCTATTACTCTGTGGAGAGTAATGTGTTCTCTGGGCTGAACGCAGCGCTAGATGCACTCCGGCGGCACCATAAACAACAAAACCCAAGTTCGAATCACTCATGTGAACTTGTAATTGAATTTTTCAAAATATGATTTAATGCACTAAGTGGAGCTAAAGGTAAAAATGTTTCAAATATAACAGCTATTGAAATGTTAAAAAAATCAGTAGAGTACAAATAGTAACACTGTTTTTTTTTTTTTTTTTTTGATTTTTTTTTTTTTTTTTTTTCCCAAGGGTTTTGAGAACAAAACTCTCCCACTCACTCAACCTAGCAGTGAAACAAATGGTCGGAGACCAAGCTCAGGAGGAGTGGACATTTGGGGCCTGCAGGACAGTGCTCTTCATTTCAAATGACAAACTAAAGGAGAACGTGGAAAGCTTTAGTGCGCATCTTGTGCGTGCGGGAGTGCTAGATTAAAGCTTAAGAAAAAGAGCTGTGAAGATCAGCCTGTAAGACTGAGCAAGCCCCTAACTTTGAATTTGGGCATTTCCCTTTTCATTACAGTGTGTCTGACATTTCACATGTCGCTCAACATCAGGCTGGCCAAGGACGTCATAAATTTACAAATGTGTGAACTTCTTTTATTTAAATTTGAGCCCGTGATGCTGTAAGGCTGAAAAGTCTGTTTATGGAATCCCCTTTCAGCTTTCTGCGGCCTGAGCTCAGGGTTTGACATTGCCCTGGAACCAGCATGCAGGGTTGTTTACTGCTCATTCTCCACAAGCCGGAGAAATGCTTGGGGAGACTGAGACTCCCTGTGCTTTCTAGTAGATCTTGGGGGCTTCAAATAGGGGTGCAATGACATTTCTCTAGTGCATGTTAGATGCCTCTTCTCCCCACCTCCTCCTCTTCTCTCCTCTCCTCTACCTTTAGCAGTTCGCAGTTGTTACCTACTTCCTTTTGAGCTTCAACTCAGAATGTTTCCAAATACAGCCAGCAGATGGAGCAATTTACTTTATTTATACTTTCATCCCGACTAGACCAGCATTTGACTATCCAGTCTCTTCTCTTTCTATAAATATATGTGTATAAATGACATGTGTATCAATATATGTTGCAAATATAAATACAACTTATACACATATAAATTTAGGTGTATGCTTCAAAACTTTCATAATGTGTAAACAATATATTAAGTACTTTTTGTTTGTTTTAGAAAAGTAGTGTTATTTGCCAGACAATTAGCTCAGAATTGTATTTTACTATTATAGACCCCAAATAAGGAGAGTCTTAGTTCCTTTGCAGTCAGCTTCTTCTGCAACCCATAACCACACAGTCTGCTCTACAGTGCTGCAGAGTTAAAAAATACTTAGCTATAATTTTGAGATCCTGTAGCAACAAATTTGAAAATTCTGACTCAGGTGAAGAACTCCAACAGAGCTTTCAAGTTGAAGTTTATTTATGGAACCATTTCAGCTATTAGATGATCCACCTGAGTTCTTGTCAATAGAGGATGGCTTCCTGGAGGAGATAAGTAATAACTTTATAGAATTTGAGATGTAATAGAATGTTATTGTCCCCTGGAGGTCACACTTGCCAACCAAAGGGTAATAACTTTTATTACAAGCCCAAATAGTCTATAAATGTTTCATTAAACCCTTAAAACGCACAGTTATTAATTTTCCACCCTTTTTTTGATTTCTGGCTGTCACATCGAGATGGCTGAAGTATTCCAAGAAACGTGGCAGAAATGTGATCAGCCTCAATTTATCATCTGTAATATTTCCTGCTGGGATTATCTGAATACATATGGATTTTAGTGAGAATTTTCTCAGGAAATTTCATTCTGATTTTAAATGCTAGACTCAGTGTCTAAGTTCTGCCTTAATCATTCCCTCTTCCAACATGCTCCTACTGGTGCTTAACTGGCTTTGAAAGGCAGCAGGTGGAGTGAGGAGGGAAGACCTCACATTTTCTGGCTGGCTCAGTCGATTCAAAAGCATTTATGAAGCATCTGTCCGTTCAGGGCTCTGGCGTGGTGCTGAGCTGATTGAGCTGAAAAAGACATAGTCCATGTCCTTGAGGCAGAGAAGCTGCCTATCATTGGCTCTAGGGAGAAGTGTTCTTATTTCTTCACTGTGGGAAAAGTTGCCATCGAGCAGGCTATGTGTAGGTTTAAACAGGTAGAAGATGGCCAGATTCTTCCTATTGTAGAAAACAGATAAAAAAAAATTCACATACTCAGACTTCAGGGAAATACAGTTCAAATTCCTGGGAAACCAGAATTATAGAATACTTAAAAAACAAAATATAGTTTTGACTTTCAAGTTAACATTGTAACTAAGGAAATATTGCAAAATCGAAGTCCCTTCAGGGCTCAATTTAATGGGTTAGAGAAGAGAATTTGAAAAGGTAATAAAACAGACTCTCACACAAAAGCTGCTTGGCTTTTGCATCTGAATAACATGGGGCATCTTTTTTCTTCCTGACCCATAAAAGGGAACCTTGATGCTCTGTTTCTCCTTAGCATAATTCCTGTGCATATTAACTTGCATATACAATTGATCGTGAGGACAGCTTTTGTAGGGCATGCAAACTTTAAGGACTTGTTCTAGGTTCTTTTGTTACAAGAATCAAGAACCACTCAAAAGGTTCAAGAAACAAATGAGTTACTTTAAAAAATGAGAACTACATAAATATCAAATATAGGGACAGTATTGTCAGAATCTGGTTTATCTGCTTGTATAGCTTGCTTGAATGAGCTGGCTAAGGTGAACTTGGTGCACTAAGGCCTTGAGGTCATGGTCATGGTATAGTCCTGTGGCCATCTATGAATCATATGACCAAGACCAATAAAACCCTTAACAGAACTGAACAAAAAAGGGTAGATACCTTTGTGCCTGGCTTTCAAATCGCTCAGAATACTCAATGCCTATCAAGAGTTTACAAGGTGTCAGCTTTTGTCTTAAGCCTTTTTCCTGTCACAAAACATTACTTGTCACAATTGTTAAATGCGGATCAGTGTTACCCCCAGTTTCCAGACACAGAATATTAGGTACGACTGAAGAGTAAAATAACGTATTGATTCAACAATGCAGTATGGCTGGCACTGGACCCCAGCCATGGGAGTCAAGTCTCCCCTCCTACCCACTGCATGTTGCCCCTTTGAACATTAGTGCTTCTTGACTCTAGGCAGAGGAGGGTGGGCAGCGAAGCTCTGCAATTGGTTCTGTGAAAAATCACAGCCACATGGAAGTCAAAGGTATAATGATAATGATGGGGCTCAAGTTGGAGCGGAGGCTGCAAGAACAGTATACGAATAGCAGAGTTCAGTTGGCCAGTTTGTTTATATTACTGAGGCCTTGCGCATGCTCGTCAAGAGCTCCACCACTGAGCTACTTATAAAGACTCAAAAATCAAAAGGTAGCCCCCTGTTTTCTACCTTTTGGTTTTGAGTCTTTATAAGGTGCCCCACTGACCTTGAACTCTTAAACTTGGGATCTTAGCTGCCTCAGCCTCCCAAGTAGTTGGGATTACCGGTCTGAGTAACTAGGCCTTTCCTCTCCTCCGCTTTCCTTTCCAATGTTCTTTTCTTTTCTTTGAGGAGGTGGAGCCTCGAAGGTCCAGAATATTCCTAATTCTCCCTCTCAACTTTCTGAGTGCTGAGATTACAAGCTTCCGGTGACCTAGATTCTAGCAGCATCACACTGGGGTATGATGTGATGGGAAAACAAACCAGAAGAAAACACAGAATATGCTTGAGGGAGAGAAAGAGGACTATGTGGTGGGAGAAGTTCTCAGGCAATGGGTTGTCAAGGTAAAAGTAAGGGTATCTTTGAAAATCATTTCTCAGAAGAGGATGGGAGCTAGGAGAGAACCCGGATCGCCCGGACCTCATTGCGAAGTTTTGACAGTCACAGAAAAAAGCAAGTGAGACAGATACGTGAGAAGGAGGCCGGTGCAAACTGAAGCTGATTCCCATTAGAAAGATGAGGTGGAGGAGAGCAAACCAAAGGAGAGGCAGAAAAGCTGCAAGGCTTTGCCAGGGTTCAAAGCCCAAGACCACCGTTAGAGCCACAGACCCAAGTGGAGAGCCTGTGCTCCTTAAGAAGTAGAAGAACTTTCTGAGGCCATGGTGGACGGACCCTTTGCCAAGGAAGTCAGCGTCAAGTGCCCACAAGCTGTCAAATTCTTCCAGAAGGAAAGGCTGACATGGCATTCCCACCTGTCCCAAGATTGAACTCTCTTGAGTATCAGCGCCTGTGATCTTTACCCGTAGGTTTCTAGTAGGGAAAGGAGGAGTTTGTTCCCATGTTGACACTGCAGGTGGCTTGAGAAAATGCCCTTTGAAGATCCATGATCATTTTTGCACCCCATAGCAGCCCGAGCGCATTTCTGCACTTTGTAGCAGCCTGAATGCATTAAAGCTGTTCCTTGCTGTTTGGCTCTCCCACTCATCTCAGTGGAGAGGGAGAGTAAGTGTTTGGAGATACCTGTTCTGTACTCTGCTGAAATGCAAAGCCTCTTGTAGGCAGCAGTGAGTCTGAAGACCATCAAAGAGTATCTGTATAGCCTCCTTCCCAACAGAAGCAGTTGCATTTGTCTCCAGCCTGGTAATGTGTGCAGCTTTTGGTTGTTATTGGTATGTTAACTGGGGGCTGGAGCATGGGGCAGGGCGTAAAGGAAATAGGTAGGATAGTTTTTAGTAAACTTGGGGGATGACTGGGGAAACCATAAAAAAAGGGAAAGAATAACTAACTAACCTTTGTTCTATGTCCTGGACTTTTCCACCTGTCCAAACATTATTACTGGCACCATGAATCCTCATTCAGATTGCAAGAGACTGATTCAAAAGTTGTGAAAGCTGATACCTGCAGCCAAGGTGCTCCCTCCCTGTGCTTAATGTGGCCCAAAGAGGACAAAGCCAGTCCTCAGATGACCAAGGCTGCCATTGTGGAGATGGGAGCTGACTGGAGAGGGAAGGTCCTTTATTGGTGAGTATACTCATGCACAGCACCCTGCCTTGGTGGACTCATACTTGAAACTAGGGATAAAAAGTCGCTTTCTTTTCCATTTCTGAAGTTACTAATATTAGTTTGTCTGTCAAGCCACTGGCTCTTGTATTGTGGGAGTGTCTGGGAGGGTCCAAGGTAGAGCAAGAGGACTGTGCTCTTAGAGTAGAAATTCCTGCAGCCTCTGGTGTTTGGCTGTGGGGCCATTAGTGGCAGAGTTCAGTCAGGGGAAGTAGAGATTTCATTGAGATTAATGTGAAAGTTGAACGCCTCCAAAAACCCTGGCATAAGAAGATTAGCCTCTGTGTTGGATGTTGTCTAGTTCTGCATTTAGAGCTACATGGGTCAATAACAGACATGTGTTAGATGTCTGAAGCTTAAATGTGGACTTCATAACATACTATCAGTTTTTTATTTTAATAAACTATAGCTTCCTTTCTAGTACTGTTGTAAGGATAGGAGACACAGGAACCATGAATGAGTGGAAGGATATTGTGGAAACACTTTCCTTTTGTTGGTTTGTTTTTGAGACAGGGTCTCTTATATAGTGCTGACTGTCCTGGAATTCTCTCTACATAGACCAGGCTGGCCGCAAAAAGTGAGCACTTTTGTCAAAGACTGTGAGTATGACATATCTCCTGGAAGGTTATGTATGCAGGTCATCAGGAATGTCCAAATAACTTTCTGTGGCCCATTTCTCTAAAATATTAATGAAATGATACCTTCATGTTTCCTTTTAAAAGTATAGAACTTAATAGAGGGTAAAGGTTCTTTAGACCACCTCTCAATCTTTATTCCCCCCTGCTTTCAGATGTCCTCCTGGACTTTATTTAAATATCTATATTTATATATAGAAACTGTTGGAAATATACAGTTTTGTATATTCTCAAAGTATGCACATAATATCATAATATTTATTTTCCCTATGATCTAGTATGTCCTGTGATCTCAGTACTTGGGAAGTGGAAGCTGAAAGTCTCAGCTACATAGTGAGTTCAAGACCAGCCTTGGTTACACACATGCACAC